CAAGGTCAGGCAAAGACAGGGGTATGGAAAGCAGGGGAACGCGGGGTGTTATCGACTTAGACAACCAACAATGATGTGCGCAGCGCAGGGGACGTTGGTGGTGGTTCGGGCCCCTTGTTCTGTAACGGCGTGTCGCCGATATTTCGGAATGTATTGCCGCGCATTGCGTTACGGTCTTGGCCAACATGTACCATCCTCTTGCGGTTGTGTGCGCTTCCTCTTTCACACTTGCGCGGTGGCTGCTTGCGGCGGATTATTATTATGTGCATTGCTCTGGTTGTTGAATGATTGATGCCGTGCTGTGTGGATCTATATCTTTCGTGCTGTCTTTTTGCTGCGTTGCGGTGGTGCCCTGTCGCGCGCATAGCGTCGTGCCTGCGGTTCGTGCACCGTGCTCCTTGCGTGGCATAGCGTTCAAATTTTGGGTGGCGCGTGTGGCTGGGGAGGGGTTCTGGTGTGCGTTTCCTGTTTGGCCCTGTCTGAAGGGTTGGTCGCTGGAGGCCTCCCTGTGGCTCTTGCTTAGTCCTGCGTTGTGCGCGAGTGCGGGGGTCGCGTGATCGCCGTATTCCTCTTCTCGACCCCCTTTCTCCTATCTTGTCCTGCCCTCCCTGTCTTCTTCCTCGTCCCGTCCCCCTCGCGCCCCTCCGACACTGCCTGGCCGCGCGCCATGTTGTGCTGTTGCGCGCATTCTACCGTGTTCTGCGCTGCCGCATGCGTTGCCGCATGCGTTGCAAGGTCTTGGCGCATTCGCATCGGGCCGGGTTGAGTGGGATCGCGGTGGCTTCCCGAATGGATTGTGATTGTCCTGGCTCGGAAAGGGTTTCTCGCCTCTGTGCTGTCTATCCCTGTCTGGGCGGATGCCCTCCCTGCGGGCCGCCTCGCCGCAAGCCAGCATTGCGGGCCACGCTCTGCGGCTGGAGTCGGGCATGTGTCCTGAGCTGCTCGGGCGCGGCGCGAGAAGCGCCGGCCCCAAAGCGTTTTGCACCCATCCATACGCTGATGTCTTGAGCAATCCTTTCTTGCCGCGAGCATGCAAAAGAGGGCACGGACGGGAGGGGCCAAGAAGGAGACGGGCTGAGCGTTGGAGTGACTATTCGGGGGCCCAAATATACACCACCACCACCTCCCTCCCCCCTCCCTCTCGCTGGAAAGAGGAGAGAGGAGGAATCGACGTGGTGGTGGTGTATATTCTTTGAGCTCCCAACTGTGGCACGTGCGAGCGATACGCACTTGAAGGAGATCGGGACGCGCGCAACGGTCAGGATGCAAGCGGTATGGGAAAGGGGGCAGACCACAACACGACGGGAGGGAAGCGTGTCGCAAGAGGCGCTGGCCGACAAGAACACCAACATCTGCGTGGTGCCATGGCTGGCATGACGAGAACGCCACGCGTCGCCAAGCTGTGGCCATTGAGTACCGTTGCGCCATCTGTCCCACACCAGGATCACAGGGCGAGCGGCCCCCTTCTCCCCGGCGCCGCCGACAAGCAACCCGCCGGCAGACGAACTCCGCCCTGCGAGCACGCTTCTGCATCGCGAGGAGTCTCTGGGCAGCCCTTCCGTCGAAATGTCTCGGGCCACGACGTCACGATTTGTATGGTATGCCCCACAGCAAAGGTAAGGCAGGAACAGGGCAGCACCGCGCTGGACACGCCCACTTGTGAGGAAAAGTTTGCATGCCAATCCACATTGTGAGCGCCTGAAGGCGCCGAAGGCAAGCGACCGGGGAGGGTTTCAGGAAGAGAGGGCCGTGCATTCTCGAATTATGTCCCACACGCCGTGTTGGAACGATGGGCAGTCGCAAGGGCGCAGGAAGTAGTTGGTCGAGGGACCAGCGCGTCCAGACACGTCGCCATTGTTTAGTTGTAATCTGATTATTGGTATGATTATTATTATTACAAGTAGTAGTACTAGTAATAGTAGTAGTACTAGTAAAAGTAGTAGTAGTAGTAGTAGTAGTAGTAGTAGTAGTAGTAGTAGTAGTAGGTGGTAGTAGCATTAGTGATAGCAGTAGTAATAGCAGTGGTAGTAGTAGTAGTAGTTGTTGTAACACTAATAGTAGCAGTGGTAGTAGTAGTAGTAGTAGTAGTAGTAGTAGTAATCATAGTAGTAGTCGTAGTAGTAGTAGTAGTAGTAGTAGTAGTAGTAGTCGTAGTCGTAGTCGTAGTAGTAGCAGTAGTAGTAGTAGTAGTAGTCGCTGTAGTCATAGTAACCATAATCGTACTAGTCATGGGAGTGATAGTGATAGTAGTAGTAGCCGCAGTAGTTGTATTAGTATTTTTATTTATATTGTTAGTAGTAGTAAAATCAAAAGTAGTCACAGTAGTGGTATTCGTAGTAGTAGTAGTATTTGCAGTAGTAGTAGTAGTAGTAGTAGTAGTAGTAGTAGTAGTAGTCGTAGTCGTAGTCGTAGTAGTAGTAGTAGTAGTAGTAGTAGTAGTAGAGGCAGTAATAGTAGCACGAGTGGTAATGGTAGTAGGCGTAGACGCGGTGGTAGTAGT